CTGAGCAGTAACTTCAGTTGCAGTTCCAGTAAATGCAACTATTTGAACATTATGTTCTTTAAAAATAGAAAGGTTTGAATAACTTGGTCTGAAGTCATTCCCCCATGTGTCCACACAATGGGCTTCATCCACAACAATTCTTGATAATGTTCCTGCCTCTGACATTCTCTTTACAATTGCTTGAAGTTGAGGGGCAAGCAATGCTTCAGGAGTAATGAACAGTATATCATAGGGGATATCCTTTTGAGAAAGACAGTGAAGAACAATATCTTTCTCATCTTCTGGCATCATTGAGTTAATGTAGCAAACAGACATTTTTTGCTTTAACCTCTTTACTTGGTCATCCATTAAAGCCAATAATGGGGTTACGACTATGGTGATCCCTTTCGATATTACAGCAGGAATTGCATAACATAATGTTTTACCTCCACCAGTAGGCATAACAAGGAGAGTATCTAATCCTTTCATTATTGTTGTTATGGCTTCTTCTTGCCCCTTTCGAAACGATTGGTGCCCAAAAATCTGCTGCAAAATATCTTTAACAGGATCACCAGACACACTGCATAATTCACCCATTGTCGTATTTGTCACATTTAATGATGATGTTGGTGTCACATTTAATGAAGAATTCACTGGTAGAAATGCCTAGAACAGAATCAGTATGTTAACAATCCACTTACACCAGTTCCTTTATTCATTTGGCAAAGGAAATGACAATTGCACAATGATTACAAGTTGAACAGATTAAGCCTGGTTGCCATTTAGTCATAATTGTTGTGAACATATAAGGGTGACCAATATAAAAGAGTGTCAATATATATTTATCAGTTATAGACCTTTCACTCGGGGTATTCCACAAAAAATTACCCTGAGGGACGAAATATTCTGAGGGCGAAGCCCAAGGAATATTTCATCCCGCAGTGTAATTTTTTGTGGAATACCCCGAGTGAAAGGTCTATAAATGGTATATTATACCGAACCTTTCAAAAATAAGTAGAAAACAAATACCATTCAATTAAC